CTGTGCAGGCTTTTGTTTGATTTTTTTTTTTTTTTTTTTTTTGGTTTTTTTGAGACATTGTCTCCCTGTAGCCCCAGCTGTCCTGGAACTCACTATGTAGACCAGGCTGGCCTTGAACTCACAGAGATCTGCCTGCCTCTGCCTCCCGAGTGCTGGGATTAAAGGCGTGCGCTGCCACGCCCAGCTTGTTTGATTTTTTTTAAGATTTATTTTTATTTATATGTGTGTGCATCTGTGTGAGTGAATTATGTGTGTACAGGTGCCCACAGAGATCTGAAGAGAGCATAGGACCTTCTGGAGGGGTTTGTGAGCCTCCTGATGTGAGTGTTGGAAACTGAACTTGGGTTCTCTGGAAGAGCAACAAGTACTCTTAATGGCTGAACCATCTCTTCAGGCCTGGTTTTGTTGGTTTTTTTTTTTTTTTTTTTTTGAGACTGGGTCTCTTGTAGATGAGGCTGGCCTTAAACTTCTGGTCCTCTTGCCTCCCCGCACCCAAGTGTTGGAATTATGGTTATGTGCCACCACATATCTGTATGTGTGTAGTGGAAGAGACTGCACAGAAGATCAAAAGCGTTGTCCTGAGACCTCCACAGTTCCCCTTTGCACTCACAAGTCTGGCTTTGAGACCCAGCACTGCCTTTCTTTTATGCTAACTGCTACAGCCAACTTACAGGCCTCTCTCTCTGACTTCAGAAAGGGCCTATTTAGATCCCTCCCTAGAGAGGGAAGAAGCTGAGGAAAGCTCTACAGACCTGCTGCCCTTGTCTAGGGTCTAGATAATAGGTTTTGAGACTTTGACAAAGGGAAGAAGCCTTCTGGAGGAGCCAGGTGTGGTGGCACGTGCCTGTAATCCCAGCACTTGGAAAGGCTAAGGCAAGAGTACACCTGTGAATTCAGTGACAGCTTGGGTTGCATAGTGAATTCCAGACCAGCTGAGGTTACATAAAAAGACTGTTGGCAGGCGGAACTCCCGTGTGTTCAAGGCCAGACTACATAGTGATTTCCAGGCTAGCTGGGGCTCCAGGGAAACCCTGGCTTAAAAAGACCGAAAAAAAAAGATGTCTCAGCACCACCCCCCAAAAAAGTTACCAGAAGAAAGTGTACTGGAATGTGGCTAGGTCACAGGTATCTACCCCAGGGCATTAATTCTCAAATTTGATTGCAAAAGCTCTTGAGTGGAGACTTCTGATCTTAGCCCCAGGTGGCATTTATTGCTACTTTTTTTTTTTGGTCTTTTTGAGACAGAATCTCCCTGTAGCCCCAGCTGGCCTGAAACTCACTGTGTAGACCAGACTTGCCTCAAACTCACAGAGATCCGCCTGCTTGTGTCTCCTGAATGCTGGGACTAAAGATGTGTACCACCACACCTGGCTATTGCTATTTTTTTTTAATTAAAAATGGTATGAGTGTTTTGCCTGCATGTATGTAAGTGTACCATGTGTGTACAATGCCCACAAAAGAGGGTGTCAGATCCCCTGGAACTGGAGTGTTAGCCCCCAAGTGGGTGACTGTGAACTGAACCTGGGTCCTTTGTAAGAGCAGCTAGTGGGTTTTTTTTGTTTTTTATTTTTATTTTATGTGTATGAGAGTATTGCCTGCATGTGTGTAAGTGCACCCATGTTGTGCGGTGCCCGAAGAGGTCAGAAGAAGGCGTTGAATTAGATTCCCCTGGAACTGGAGTTACGGATGGTTGTTAGCCACCATGCGGGTGCTGGGAACTGAACCCGGGTCCTCTGCAAGATCAGTCAGTGCCCTTCACTGCTGAGCCATCTCTCCAGCCCCACAGCAGCTAGTGTTCTTAAACTGCTGAGCTATCTTTGTCAGGATGTAAAGGAATGAGTACAAGAGCAGAGGCTTGGGCCTTAGCCCAGTAGCAAAGCATATGTTTGGCATATGTGAATACATCCCTGGGTTTAATCTCCACTTTTCCCCCAAAAGAGAGGTGCATACAAAGCATGGACTTTCTGGGCTTCACTTGACCCATTTGGGCAATGAGGGGTTGGCCTATTGTTGCAGAGTCTTGTTATGTTGCCCAGGCTAGCCTTGAACTTGCAATCCCCCTGCTTTGGCATCCCAAGTAGCTGGGATGTGTTGCTACCTCCTGCTCTTGTCTGCTCCCAAGCATGCTATTCTTGAACAGAAGCCAGCTCTGATTCTCCCAGGCATCATTTGCCTATGAATTTAGAGCAGTTCCTGACACATAGTAGGTGCTTTTTAAATAGTTACTGTGAAAATGAGTAGCTTTTTTTTTTTGTCTTTTTGAGACAGGATCTCCCTGTAGCCCCAGCTGTCCTGGAACTCACTATGTAAATCAAAACCAGGCTGGCCTTGAACTCACAAAGATCCGCCTGCCTCTGCCTCCCAAGTGCTGGGATTAAAGGTGTGTACCACCACGCCTGGCATGAGTAGCTATTTATAACTGGTTATTGGAAGGATGCCATGTAGGAAGGCAGGGCCGGGAGCCCAGACTGCTGCAATCTTGCCAATGGACGGAGCTCTGGCAAGGAACTGGCCTGGATGCCTTCAGTCAGGATATCTGACAGCTTCAGGGGTGGCCGCATTGCTTCTTCTTTAAACACTTTTTTCTAAAGAAATGCAATGTATACATTGTGGCAAAATTTTCTTATGGTATTGGGGATGAACCATTGCATATGCCTAAGCAGGTGCTCTTAGTTTCTTCTTGTGGTTTGATGTTGTTTTATAAATTTTTTTTTTTGTTTTGGTCTTTTTGAGACAGGGTCTCCCTGTAGCCCCAGCTGGCCTGGAACTCACTATGTAGATCAGGCTGGCCGAGTTCAAGGCCTGCCTTTGCTTCCCTAGTGCTGGGATGCTGGGAATAAAGGCATGAGTCACCACTCCCAGCTATTTCATTTATTTGTGTGTGTGTGTGTGTGTGTGTGTGTGTGTATATGTGTGTGTTCTAGTTTATTTTCTGTTGCTATGATGAAACACTCCAACCAACGCCAACTTAGAAATGGGTTTATTTTGCTTACAAGTCCTGATCGCAGTTAATCATTGAGGGAAGTTGGGGCAGGAACCTGGAGGCAAGAACTAAAGCACAGACAATGATGAAGGAATGTTGTTTACTGGCTTGCTTCCCTGCCTTGCTTAGCTATTTATACAACCCAGGCCCACCTGCCCAGGGATGGTACCGTACCACTCAGCCCACATACTCAACAATCAATAAAATGCTTCACAGACATGCCCATAGGCCAGTCCAATAGAGGAAATTCCTCAGTTGAGACTCCCTATTCCCAGGTGTTTCAAGTTTACAACCAAAGCCAACCTGAGCATGTGCCACAGCACGTGTGGTAGTCAGAGGACAAATTTGTGGAGTCTGTTCTCTCACCTTTATGTAGGTTCCTGGGATCAAACTTGGGTCACACTTGTGCACAGCAAGTATCTTTACTTACTGATCAAGGGCCCAATTTTTATGCCCGTTTCTCTGTGTGTGTATAAATTTTGGCATACATAGTTTATAAAGTATATCCTGAACTCAAGATATTAAGCAAGATTTCACTTGCAATGGCTTCATAACAGTGCATCTAACCATTCCTTCAATGGGGACATAAGTTGTTGCCTTTGAGCTCTCTAAAGATCACAGTGATGCCCACTGCTGCCCACACATTTTTAATTTGTATTTCTTGTTCCTAGGACACAGTGCCAGTAGTGGAATTACTGTATCAAAGTAGATGAAGCTCTTTAGGCTTCTCGAAACAATGCCAAAATATTTCCTAGAAAAGTTTAGGAAATAGCCCACAGGTTGGAAGGCATCCTGGTCCCTGCAACAGTGTGGCCCCAGCAGTGGAAGGTGAGAGGCACCTCAGCTTCCTCTTAGTGGGCAGGTGGGTCTTCGGTTTTTTTAAAATATTTTATTTATTGTTTTTATTTTATGTGTCTGTCTGAGTGTATTGCCTGCATGTATGTGAGTGCACCCATGTCATGCAGTGCTGTGGAAATCAGAAGAGGGTTTCAGATTCCCCTGGAACTGGAGTTAAAGATGGTTTGTAGCCACCATGTGAGTGCTGGGAATCGAACCCAGGTCCTCTGCAAGAGCAGTCGGTGCTCTTAACCGCTGAGCCATCTCTCCAGCTCCCAGGTCTTCGGTTTTTAAAAAAGAATAATCTAGGTGTATGAGTAAGTATTGCTTGCATGTAGGTAGGTGCAACCCTGTCGTGCATTGCTCATGGAGGTCAGAGAGAACATTGGATCCTCTGGAACTAGGGATAGTTGTTAGCTGTCATGTGGGTGCTGGGAATTGAACCCTGGTCCTCTGCAAGAGCAGTCGGTGCTCTTTAACCACTAAGCCGTCTCTCCAGCCCCGTTCTTTGTTCTTCGGTTTTTAAGAGCCAGAGAAGGGTCTGGAGAGATGGCTCAGTGCTGTTGCAGAGGGCCTAGGTTCAGTTTCCAGCACCCACGTGGCAGCCATAGGTAGCGCCCATTCCAGGGGATCCGACACCCTCTTCTGGCCTCTGTGGGCATTGCACACACGGGTGCATTACACGCAGTCCACTCATACATTTTTAATGTTAAAAAAAAGAAAAAAAATGAAGCTGTTAGCTAAAATGGGGCAGGAAATTCGTATGTTTGAGCAAAAACAGTTTGTCAACAGGAGTCCTACATTTTGTTGGGTGCAGTGTATTGCCTAATCCCAACATTTAGGAGTTCAAGGTCATCCTCGCCACTTAACTAGTTCCAGGCCAGCCTGAGCTACATTAGACGCGATCTCGAAAGGTACGAAACAAAAACAAGACAACCCAAACAGCCCACAAGAATCTAACACTTAGAGACCCTTCGTATAAAGATCCGCTGATTCCAACGTAGGTTTTCAGAGACCGGGACACGCGGCGCCTGCCCTGGGTTGGAGCCAGTGGAGGGTGTCTGAGCCAGCCCCAGCAGCCGGAGGGCTACTGCCCCTTTAAACACCAATCCCGGACCTGGCCCTTTAAATACGTGTCAGTTTCCCCTGACGTCAGCGGGCGGGCCGGCAGCCCTGCTGTTTACCGCCGCGCGCTGTCGCTCACTTTCCAGAGTTCCGAGCTCCGCGGCGCTGCGTCCGCCCGCCCTTAAAGGGCCCGCGTCCCCGGAAACTCGCGGGCCCGCCGGCCGCGGGGTCACGACCACCCAGCCGGTCCGGCCTGCCCGGCCCTGCGGCCGCCCCGCCAGCCGCTCCTCCGCCTCGCCCGCGGCTCCGGCTCCCGGCCGCCAGCCGCCCCTGGTGCACCAGGCCTGGCGGGGGCTGCAGGGTCACTGTGCGTTCTGCCCACGCGAGCCGGGGTCCCTGCGTGCAGCCCCCTCCCCTGCGTCCCCTCCCCCCGGGGCCCCGGGAGCGCCCCGCGGGTGCAGGGAGGGGACGTTTCCTAATCTCGGGCCGGGGTTAAAGTTCTGGTCTTGGTGAGATGCTGGAAGCTGCAGGCGCAGCCCGTCCCGGAGGTGTCCTGTCGCCTGTCGCCGCAGCCCCAACCCCTGCCACCACCGCTGCCGTGCCGGGGCCATGTTCGCTCTGGGCTTGCTCTGGGTGCTCTTGGTGGCTGCGGTCGACTCCCATCTGGGAGTACTGGGGCCCAAAAACGTCTCGCAGAAAGACGCGGAGTTTGAGCACCTCTACGTGGATGAGGTCAACAGCGAGTTGGTCAACATCTACACCTTCAACCACACTGTGACCCGCAACCGGGTGAGAACTGGGATTGGGCCTGGGATGGAGAGCTGGTGGAGAGAGGGTGAGCAAACCAGCGCAGAGTGGCTCTGCCACTCCCCTGCCTTTTCAGGGGTCCCCTGAGCACTCTGGAGTCAGTTCACCAGTCCTTCCTCAGTTTCTCGAAGCCCCAACTGGGCTGTTTGGGAAGGGGTCTCACTCCCATCTTCCCTTCCACCAGCTGTAACCCTATTCCCTCTGGCCTGTTCCCTCCCCTGACCCTCAGAACGCGACAGCTGTGTGAGGTCTGGGTGCGAGGGAAGCAGGCTTCTGGGCTTGCCCAGACAACTCCACGAGATGGGGCCAGCCCAGAACTGAAAGGCTGGGCTCAGACAAGTTACAGTCACAATCCTGAGGGAGATGGAGGCAGACGTCCCAGCGCCGAAAGCCTGAAAGCTGACTTGGCCTTGGAAGTTGACAGAGATAAGGCCAACTACAAGTTGGAAAGAGAAAGGGGAGTTTGTTCCCCATGCACAGTTCTCTCTGACTTCTTGCTCATTTCTCCCCAGTAGTGAAAGTTGAACATGGCTTAGCCAGATCTGGGAAGTGTAGGGTCCAGGCACACTGCAGCCTGAGGGAATTCTTATAGGCAGGTCCTGTGACCTCCTGCCTAGCCTTGTGCTTTCTCCATGGCCAGATTTGGATTGATTCAGAAGCTGTGGGGTTGAAAATGAGGAATCTGGGGTTTTCTTCAGGATAGTGAGGGATTTGGTTTCTGGCAAGGCAGAATCTGCTACCATTAGTTTCCTCTCTAGTCTTTATTCCTTTGGTCCCACATGTAACATTTCTGGTCACCCCACAGTGGTGGCATCTTTGAGAAATGCTACCCCAAAGCTTGGTTTCAGCAGCTCAGTAACAAACATTCCCAGGGTTTACTTATTTATTTTTGAACTCCCACTGCTGGTATAGCTTCTTCCACAGCGAAGGGTGGGCATGTGATTTCCTAATGGGGGATATTGAGGTTCAGGTGTGAAGTAACAACACAGCCTGCTCCTTCGTCTGAACTAGGAATACAACTGATTTCAACACTGTTGGAATCATTCCCCTCCCCCCATCCCACCAGGCTGTGGCCTCCACATTAGTTGTTGAACCGGAGCTTCTTGCTGGTTTCGTAGTTCACAAGGAAGAAAACTGTAGACATGTTTTGCTCTCTCTTTCCTGTGTGTCTATACGTAGGCACATGTATGTGCGTGTACATGTGTGTACATGGGTAGCACAAGGGCTATCCTGGAGCCTCCTGAAGTCTGTGTTACTCCACAAACCTGTGTCATCTCCATGAGGGACCTCCCTGAAGCTTCATGTCCCTCAGCTCCATCCCCTCCTGGAGATGAGGCTTGCTCCTGTAGAAGGACTAGACATAGATGGCATCCCAGCTGACCAGGATGGGTGGTGGAAGGCAGGACTTAGAGTCTTTGGAGCAATGTATTTGAGAGACAGTGGGGCAGAGTTTGAGTAGGAGCACTTCTTGTCTTCCGCAGACTGAGGGTGTACGAGTCTCAGTGAATGTCTTGAACAAGCAGAAGGGGGCGCCTTTGCTGTTCGTTGTCCGCCAAAAGGAGGCTGTGGTGTCCTTCCAGGTGCCCCTAATCCTGCGAGGGCTGTGAGTAGGATCTGGGGATGAGGGGAGGGATGGCCTAGGCCAGGCCTTGTTGGGAGCCTCACCCAGGAGCTCCTCCTGTTTTTCCTCCCCTCTCCCTGAGCCCACAAGTCAGTCAATAGCTTAAGGGCCAAGTCTGCAGGCTTGGATGTTCTCAACCTAGGACTTGGGAAGTGTGAGGGCATGTTAGGAAGAATCAGAGCCTTATTTCTCTGTAATGGCAGGCTGGCTGGGATTATAGTCACACCCTCTCTGTCTTGGACCATAGATATCAGCGCAAGTACCTCTACCAAAAGGTTGAACGAACACTATGTCAGCCTCCCACCAAGAATGAGTCTGAGATCCAGTTCTTCTATGTGGACGTGTCGACTCTGTCATCAGTCAATACCACTTACCAGCTCCAAGTCAACCGGGTGGACAACTTTGTGCTGAGGTCTGTAGGGTAGAGTGAGGAGACCAGGGAGCCTGGCATCCTTTCCAAGCCCTGGGAATGACTGTGGGATTGTTCTTTGTCTTGTAGGACCGGGGAGCAGTTTACCTTCAATACCACTGCAGCCCAGCCCCAGGTAAAAGCCCCTGTCGAAGTTGGGAGGCTTTGAATGTGAGGGCAAGAGTGGTTAGCAAGTCGTTTCAATCTCTGTCGGGGGAATATTTGGAAGCAGGAGCTCTGGCCTCTGGTGAGGGGCAGACAGCCAGAGACACTGTAACAGGGACAGTGAAACAGGTCTGGTTGCTGTCTTTCCTACTCTACCTCTCAGGCACTGTCCTGCGTGTGCAGCTGAGGTTAAAAGTGATGGAAAACAGTGAGTGGGCACCTCATGGTCAAGGTCTTTTCACCAGATTGCCTCCACTACCCAACACGAGAAGATTCAGGGACCCAGCTTATGGGAGACTATTGCCCTCTCTAGAGAGGCAGAGAGAACATGCTGGTGAGGTGGCACTCTCCCTGCCCTTTCTGTGTTCTTAGTACTTCAAGTATGAGTTTCCTGATGGAGTGGACTCTGTAATTGTCAAGGTGACCTCCAGCAAGGCCTTCCCCTGCTCAGTCATCTCCATTCAGGATGTCCTAGTAAGCTGCCTGTCCTTTTATTCTGCCAGTGACTAGTAGTGGCATTAAAGAAAGGGGACAGGCCTGAGTTCTCCATCCATCTGCCTTTCTTTCTCTTCCTCTCTAGTGCCCTGTCTATGATCTAGACAACAACGTAGCCTTCATTGGCATGTACCAGACTATGACTAAGAAGGCAGCCATCACTGTGCAGGTAGGAAATGTGCATGGCCCTCTAGGAGATGTGGCTGGCTGATAAGCTGGGTGACTTACCACCACACCCTGCACTTTTCTGTCTGTCTCTTTCCTACCCTACACAAGGGCTTCTTTTTTTTTTGGCTTTTTGAGACAGGATCTCCTTGTAGCCCCGGCTGGCCTGGAGCTCACTATGTAAACCAAGCTGGCCTTGAACTCACAGAGACCCACCTATCTCTGCCTCCTGAGTACCGGAGTAAACACATGCACAAGGGCTTCTTAAACTTTTCCAACTATGACCTCTTTGTGCCTAAGAAATTTTTATACAACCCCAGGTATATAAGTATATATAAAAAAAGCATTTACCGATAGTACATCATAAAGAAGTTTTCTCAGATGGGGCCAGCAAGATGACTGCGTGAGTAAAGACGCTGTGCAAGCCTAGCGATCTGGTTTGATCTCTGGAACCCACATACAGGTGGAAGGAGAGAACTGACTTTTCAGAGTTACCTTCTGCCCTCCTCATGTCTCATAGCACTCATGGCCCCCCACCTCCCATTAATAATAATCATAGTAATAAAAATTTAACAATTTATTTTAAAATAATTCTCCTGTATGCATATAATTTTACCATCTATTAAATACAAAAATAAAATTGCATGTTAGTGAAATGAATTGTTTATTTTTAAATGTAAGGAACTAAATCTTAGCTGGAGGTTTGATATTAGAAGACACAAAATATCTTCAGTGTTTTCCCGAGTTAATATTTTGACTTTTTTTCTTTTCTTTAGTATGGGAGAAGGTAAGGAAGTGCACTTACCACAATCAGCATGTGGAGGTTAGAGGACAACATTGTGGAATCAGTTCTCTCCTTCTGTCATGTGGGTTCTGGGGATTGAACTTAGGTTGTCAGTCTTGGCAGCTAGTGCCTTTACTCACTGAGCCATCTCTCTGACCTTTGATTTTTTTTTTTTTTTTCTGTTGTCTTTTTGAGACAGGGTCTCTCTGTAGTCCCAGCTGACCTGAACTCACTATGTAGACCAGGCTGGCCTCGAACTCACAGAGATCCACCTGCCTCTGCCTTCTGAGTGCTGGGACTAAAGGTGTGTGCCACCATGCCCAGCTTGATTTTGTATTTTTTAAAGTAGCAAGAGATTTTTTTTTTTAATTTTATTTATTATCCTTATCTTATGTGTGAGTATATTGCCTGTATGTTTGCAATGCCTGGTAGAGGTCAGAAGAGAGCATCGGAGCCCCTGGAACTGGAGTTACAGACCTGTTGGCCACTATGTGGGTGCTGGTAATCGAACTCAGGTTCTCTGCAAGAGAAACCAGTGCTCTTAGCTGCTGAGCCATGTCTCCAATCCCATAGCAAGAGATTTTATTCAGAAGTAAAGAAAAGTACAGACCAGATACAGTGTAAGAGAGCAGCAGACTCTGAGTGAGATTAACTCAAGAGCCAATATTTTGATTTTATAATTGTCAGTGCTGGAAATGCCACTTTGAATAAATACAAAATGTCAGAAATATATTTGGACTATTTCAGAAATGATTGGGAGTTCTATCCCAATCCCACTCAAGTCAAAATTCAGTAAGTAATTTTTTAAAATGAAATTCAAACCAGCAATTCAAAACTGCGAATTTTTTTAAGTCAGGTACTCTTAGAAAAGATTTTATTTTGGCCAAGCCAAGGCGGCGTATTGCGGGTCTTGCTATACTCACCCGACCTGGGCGCATGTTCCACCGCCCCGTGGTGTCGCCGTTGGGGTGTGGAGGGCTGAGAAGAGGGGCTTCCCCGGTCCTCGGTGGCGTGGCCTTTCCCCTTCCTGAGGGGTGGGGACCGACACCTTTTTCTTTTTCCACCTCCTGCCCTCCACCCAAGGAAAAAAAAAATATTTTATTTTTAATTACATGTATATGTGTGCGTCTACGTGTGGGCATATGTATGTGAGCGCAGGTGCCTGTAGAGTCCAAAGCATCAGATCCCCCAGGAGCTAGAGTAAAAGGCTGTTGTGAACACTGACATCATTGCTGGGAATGGAAGAGCAACAAGTGCTCTTAACTGCCCCCAAACAGCAATTTTTTAAATTAAACATTCTAGGGGCTGGAGAGATGGCTCAGCAGTTAAGAACACTGACTGTTCTTGCAGAAGACCCGGGTTTGAATCCCAGCACCACATGGCAGCTAAAAACTGTCCATAACTCCAGTCCCAGGGGATCCGACAGCCTCTTCTGTCCTCTGAGGGCATTGCATGACACGGGCGCACTTACCTACATGTAGGCAATACACGCATACACATAAAAATAGTAAAGTATTTTAAATTAAACATTCTAATACAGTCCAACCCACAGATGTACTAATTTGCTATTTACATGCTGAGGAATGATATTAGGAAAATATAAGAAGTCTTTTTTTTTCTGTAACTATAGTTTTCTGTAAGAGTAGAAAACTGGGTTTGTATGACAGAAAAACTGCAGGTGATAGCATACAATAGTTTGGAATCTGAGTGGAGATGTCTCAGACAGTGTCACTTGGCATTACCAGGTGACACAACATGCACGGTACAAAGTGCACATATGTGTGTTTAGTTAGGTCATATGATACAACATGGACAAGTGCTCTTAGAAACACCTTAGATTCATTACACTTTTACTTTTGAGCTAATACTTGGTTGTTGTACGTTCAGAAACCTTTTACAGTTGCCTAGTTTTTTACCACCCCCACATTCAGTTACAGGACCCTTCAGTCCTCTAGTTCCTGTGGCTTTGGGGTCTCTGGTATATGTGAGTGCAACCATCTCTTCTGGCTGGTGCCCAGCCTATAAAAGGATGGCCCACATGGGACACATGCTCATGTACTCACCTGGCTGTAGTGTGGGTATGGGATTTGAGCTCTAGAGTCATATAATCACTGTGACCCTAAGCTAATGTCTCATGGTCTGTCCGACAAAGATGATAATACTCCTGCAGAGTTAGCTTAGTGGTAGAGCTCCTGCCTAGCACATGAGAGACACTGGATTAGACCCTCAGCACCGCAAAAGGAAATGGGGGATGTGATGATTAAGTGTGTGGTGCTGAGGGTCTAATCCAGTGCCTCTCGTGTGCTAGGCAGGAGCTCTACCATTGTATACGTAAAGAGCTTTACACAGTATATGATCCAAATACATATTCAGAAAGATAACAATGGTCCATCACCATTTTTATCCTCCTCATCTTACAGCGCAAAGACTTCCCTAGCAACAGCTTTTACGTGGTAGTGGTGGTGAAGACTGAGGACCAGGCTTGCGGGGGATCTTTGCCCTTCTACCCTTTTGTAGAAGGTATGTTTTGTATGCTGGCTTGGAACAGGCCAGGCTTTGTGGTTTCCAGAAGGTAAAAGAGCCTATGTGGCAATTGGTGGAGCTGATGGAACATGAGTTTGGGGCCCCAGACTTTCCAAGGACTGGTCCCACAAATTCTAAGCTCCAGGTAATTGCTTCTTTATTTTGGCAATCACTTCTTTACCACTTTGACATTTGAAGAAAATTTTATTTGTATTATACGCATATGAGTGTTTTGCCTGCATGTAAGTGTACCACATGTGTGCATCACCTACAGAGGCCAGAAGAGGGACATCAGATCCCCTGAAATTGCAATTACATGCAGTTGTGAGTCGCTATGTGAATGCTGGGAACCAAACTGGGGTCCTCTGCAAGAACAGTAGGTGTTAACTACTGAGCCATTTTTCTAGCCCCCACTTTGACATTTTATTTCCAGATGAACCCGTCGATCAAGGGCATCGTCAGAAAACTCTGTCAGTCCTGGTCTCTGAAGCTGTCACATGTAAGTGTATGAGTGCCTGGGTAGGGTAGACAAGGCTGCCTGGTTCTTAGACCTGGGGGGAAGCAGGTGTTTTCTGAACTGGAAGGGAGATGAGGACCTCCTGCCCAAGTGGGCTGCTGGGGTGAGGAGAAGTGTTCTCAGTAGGCTTCAGTTGGGGGAAAGTCAGAAGGTGGGCCCCAGTGTATTATGGGGCAGAGTCCATGACCAAACCAAGAGTGCCTTCTCACTTACTCTTGTCTGCTTAGCAGTAGAATCTGTCAGTTCCCCTGTCTGTGACAGAAGCAACAAATTCTGTTCATTGACGTCCTCAGTTATGAAGCTTAATACAGAATTAGAGCAGAGTACATGGCACCTCATCAGTGCTCAGTGATGATTATTATTGAGTTTTTTTTTATTATTGAACCATACATGCTTTTCTAATCCCAGCAGCTAGGAGGTAGAGGCAGGAAGATTGATAATTCAAGGTCATCCTTGGCTCTGTCATGAGTTTGAGGCCAGCTTGGGCATGAGACCTTGTCTCAAAAACAAAAACAAACCAACATACACTTAAATTAATTAATTAAATAAATAAATAAAAACAAACCCAAAGAAAAGCATAAGGGACTGTGGTAGGAGGGGAAGCTGCCTCTCCTGTGTGGTTTATTGAGCCGTGGTTAGCACTGGGGCTGCACCTCTTAGGAAGCTTTTGGGGAAGGGGCCTGGAGAGCTCTACAGGATGTGAAGTGCTATGCTGACCAAAGGACATGTCACTGTGGGAATATAGGACAGAGAAGGCCACGTGGAGGGTATAGTCCCTGAACTGTGGTTTAAAGGTTAAGGGGCAGGAGCAGTGGTGCGCATCTTTAACCCTAGCACTCAGAGGCAGGCAGATCTCTCTGTGATTGAGGCCAGCATGGTGTACATACCAAGTTCCAGGCCAAATGGGGCTATAGGGAGACCCTGTCTTGAGAAACAGGCTAAGCCAACATAAAGTTTTCGAGACGCAGGAGAGGAAGTTCTAGGAAGTACATGAGCAGATGGGATCGCGCCAGAGTTTGGTGTATTAGGTGGTGGGCAGGTATTCATACTGGCTGGACATTGCGTTTGGGGAAGGAGGAGCTAGATTATCACAGAGGTCCCTGGGTACCTACTGGGTGAGTGGTGTGGGAAGGGTTGCCACAATCTTGCTTTGCTCACCTTCCTTCTTCTCTCCTCATAGCTGAGGCCTATGTTGGTGGGATGCTCTTTTGCCTGGCCATATTTTTCTCCTTCTACCTGCTGACCTTGCTCCTGGCCTGTTGGGAGAACTGGAGGTGAGGTGAAACTGCTGAGCCATCCCCTACTCTGGTGTGGGTTGGGCAGAGGGTCTCAGGGAGATAACAGGGTGGGATCTAAGCTAGTTCAGAGTGATCTTGCAGCTAACTGTCCTCCAGGCATAGCAAGGCAGGTACTTGTTGGTATGTGTGGTCCATGGTCCACTTCTCTAGAAACCAGCACATCCCATCGATCGTCTCCAAGCTGGGAGACAACCTCATTGCTCCCTAGTCTGAGAGAAATCCAAGATTCAAGGGTGGAAGACAGGGTTATAGAGATCAGAATGTGTAGAGAAGATAGAAGATTAGCCTAGCCTGGGAAGAGGTCCTCATCCTACCTCAACTGAGTATCATCTGAATTCTATCCCTGCAGGCAGAGGAAGAAGACCCTGCTGGTGGCCATAGACCGAGCCTGCCCAGAAAGTGGTATCTCCAGGGAGCAGGGGGTGGATAGAACTGTTGGGAGGGTAGGGAACAGGGGTTTGGAAAGGGGAGCTGCTTAGTGTTTGGGAAGGAGAAGGGTCACAAGAAGGAGGGCTGGTGGTTTTTTATGTTCAGACTAGGAGTAACATTCCACAAGGGGAAACAGCCTGGGGTCTTGGATCGCCTCTCCATGGACTCCTGAAAGCTCTTCTGAGGTCTGTCTTGGTTGTCTAGCTAACGCTGCTGGTCTGTGTAGGCAGTGCAGCTCCATACCTGGGGTTTTTAACCTTCCCTTCTCTCTCCCTTTCTTCCATCACTTCTCTCTCTGCCCTCCCTCCTACTTGGACCTCTCTCAGCTTCTCTCCTTGGTAAGCTCCAGGTGCTGTGGGCAGAGGAGCTGCTGTTGGGTGGGAGGTGAAGTATAAGGGTAGTCTGGGGACCTAGGCATCCAGTGTCATCTTCCTTGCTACTGGTGTCTTAGATTCTTAGATACATCATTTCCTTAATTGTCCTCTCTCCTTTTTTCTTTTATTATTTATTTTACTTATTTATTTAATTTTTTTTTTTTTTGAGATAGTCTCCCTGTAGCCCCAGCTGGCCTAGAACTTGCTATGTAAACCAGGCTGGCCTCAATCTCACAGAGATCTGCCTGCTTCTGCCTCTCCAGTATTGGGATTAAAGGCATGTGCCACCATGCCCAGCTATTTATTTATTTGAGACAGGGTCTCATTTTCTAGTCCAGGGTAGCTTGAAACTCAGTAAGTAGCCCAGGTTGGCCTTAAACACAAAACAGTCCTGTCTTAGCCTAGCAAATGCTGGGATTACAGACACAAGCCACCACGTCCAGCTTGTCTTCTCTTTTGGGAGGACACAGAGTGGTACGTGTCTCCTTGGAATGGCCCATGGTGGTGGGGCTTTCGGGAGGTGTGCTCTCTTTGCTGCTGGCCTGGCCCCTCTGTGGCTGCCCTCTCTGGATTCTTCTTTCTCTTCCCCTGACTTTAGGCCTCTCTTTGCTTCCAGGTCTAAGGGGACTTTGACTTCTCATTGCAGGTCATCCTCGGGTCTTGGCCAATTCCTTTCCTGGCAGCACCCCTTATGAGGGTTACAACTATGGCTCCTTTGGTACGTGTCAAAGTCAGAGACTGTGCTTGCCCATGCCCAGCCCATGTCTCCTTCGGCTGCTGCCTCTGAGGTAGTGGAGTGGCTGCAGGCCTCTGGTACCCATGTCCTTGAAGCTACTTAGAGGTCTCTAGGGACAGATTCAGTGTCTTCTGCCCTGAAGTCACTCCCACCTGCCTCACCACTTACTCTTTGCTGCAGAGAATGGTTCCGGATCTACCGATGGGTTGGTTGACAGCACAGGTTCAGGGGACCTCTCTTACAGTTACCAGGGTGAGTGGGCCAAGAAGCAGGGCATGTGGTGCAGGGATACTGTTGGCTGGGTGAAATGTCCTGGTGGGCAGTTGACTCTTCTGCCAGATGCTGGAACCAGGGAAGGGCTGCTGTTCTGCCCCTTTCCTCCTTTCTTTTCTCCTTGGCCTCAGTTCCCCCATAACTTTCCCTTTCCTTTGAAGGGCACGACCAGTTCAAGCGGCGCCTTCCCTCTGGCCAGATGCGGCAGCTGTGCATTGCCATGGGTAGATGTAGGGAGGGGGTAGGGCTGCCCTGCCAATCAGTTCCTGCCAGGATGGTTGGTCAATGGAGCCAGCCAGTTCTGGGGCCAGAAAGATGCTTGGTGCATGGCTTCCCTGTTGAGTGCCACCAATGCCAGCTTGTGTGTCTTCTGAGATAGGCAGGCACTGGCTCCCTGGGTCAGATGTCCTAGCTTGCTGTCTTCTTGCCAGCATCCTCCCTTCCTGGCCTGCTGGCTAAGGGATCCCAGGCCTGGGGGGCACCTTTTGGCCTTTTGGGGGCTTTGGCCAGGGAAGGTGACAGGAAGCTTCTGAAAGTAGAAGACAGAAGATAGGAAGGATGTTCTTCCCAAGCCCCTGCCTATATGCCAGGCCCATTGGGACTTTAATCCAGGGGCGGCCAAGGCATGTCTTCTCAGAACCCACAGGACTGGGCACCTTCTAATCTGTGCATGACTGGCCAAGCTGAATCCTATTGCTTGTTTCTGGGGTCCATTTAGGGTTGGGAAGCCCTAACTTGGGGAGCTGAGCCAGGAGTGGAGCTAAGCCAGAGCCATCCTCATTTAGTGGCTTCTTGCAGAGCTCCACCTTGTCCCCCTGACTTAGGAACACCTGCCCTGCTGCTCTGAGCCCTGGCCCACAATTGGCTTCTTCCCCTGTGTCAAGTAATTTTGACAGTTGCTTCGAATGGGTGGGAGCAGACCTGGTGTTTGGTCTCACCAGCCCCAAACTCTTTTCATCTGCCCTTCCTAGACCGCCCCTTTGACCCAGTGGGGACTCGGCCACGACTGGACTCCATGAGCTCCGTGGAAGAGGATGACTATGACACATTGACTGACATTGATTCAGACAAGAATGTCATTCGCACCAAGGTCTGACATGCACAGCCTGGCCCTGGTCAGGGGTTTCTGGAGGAAGGAACTCTTGTGTTCAGGTCCCACCCTCTGTGATGCAGTAGGCAAGCAGAAGAACAGATAGAATAGATTCCCAGGGTCAATTTCCTGTCAAGCTGGTTTGCTTGACCTCCAGTCCCTTCCGAAATGATTGGCCAAACCTTCTTTGCCCAATTAGCCACAGAAGTAGGGAGGCCCAGAACCTTGCCCAGTGGATTCTGGCTTGTCTGCAGTCTTATCTACCCCTAATCTGAGTGGCAGGGGTTCTCCCAGGTGGTGGGTAAGTGAGGCTCACTCCCACCCCTCCCCAGCAATACCTCTGCGTGGCTGACTTGGCACGGAAGGACAAACGTGTTCTGCGGAAGAAGTACCAGATCTACTTCTGGTGAGTGGGCTGCACAGGCAGGGACTCTTGTTACTCTGCAGGGCCGTTTCTCTGTCCTGCTCACCTCCTCCCTGCCCTCCCACTCCTCAGGAACATTGCCACCATTGCGGTCTTCTATGCCCTTCCTGTGGTGCAGCTGGTGATCACCTATCAGACGGTGAGAGGGCCAAGGCTGGTGCAGTGAGGGGGCCAGTGCTGGTGCATTTCAATCTGTCACTTGGCCCCACCCTGCAGAGCCACCCAGACAGGAACTCTGCAGAGAACTCTGCAGTCAGAGGTCATGGGACCAACTTTCAAATCCCACTTCTGCCTTAACTGTCAGCATTGGGTGCCTGAGCTTTTGTTTCTTCATCTGTAGAATGGGGACAACATAAATTGCTGGGGTGGGTTTAAGAAACAGAGGTCATGGAACTTCCCAGTGTTGGTTTCCCTTCCTCTTTGTCTACTTTGGGGCAGGAACTTGTCAGGGTCATGCCTTGGGGTAAAGAGGGGAATGACATTTGTGCCACCTGAGCCCCCGACTCTGTGAAAGGAGCACCTGTGTGTAACCTTAGCCCCGCTGGTGCTACTCATTTTTTTTTTTTTTTGACAGTTGGGCCCAGGTGTTGTGGTGTGGGCTCCATGCTGAGTCAGCATGATAACAGCTCTGCTCCCTGCCCCCACTCCTGCTGCAGGTGGTAAATGTCACAGGCAACCAGGACATCTGCTACTACAACTTCCTCTGTGCCCACCCACTGGGCAACCTCAGGTGGGCATTGTGCTAGAGGCCCAGGTATGGGTAAAGTAGACAGCACTGACTAGCACAGGGTGGGGCTCTTTGAAGTCTGCTGGATCGAGGAAAGAGAAGGACATAAGGCTAAGTGCCTTGTCTTGTCCCTTCTAGCGCCTTCAACAACATCCTCAGCAACCTGGGGTACATCCTGCTGGGCTTGCTCTTCCTGCTCATCATCCTGCAGCGTGAGATCAATCACAACCGGGCCCTGCTACGCAATGACCTCTATGCCCTGGTGAGTGAGCTCTGTGCCTGCAGAGATCAAGGCCCCACCTATCCCAGCACACACCCAGGCCTCAGCTCTGGCAAGGATAGCCTTGCCCATCCCAACTCTGCTCTGCCCAACCCAGCTGTGCCCTGCTGTACTCTGTACTGCCTACCTTGCTCTGTTCTATCCTGCCCAGGTCTGCCTTGCCCACATCTGCCCTGCCCTTCCCTGCCCTACCCTGCCTAGGTCTGCCCTATCTACATCTGCCCTGCCTTACCCTGCCTAGGTCTGCTCTGCCTAGCTTTCCATGTCCTGCCCTGCCCTGCCTTACCCTGCCTAGGTCTGCTCTGCCTAGCTTTACCATGCCCTGCCCTGCCCAGGCCTATACTACCCTGCCCTGCCCTGCCCAGATCCGCCCTGCCCTGCCTTACCCTGCCTAGGTCTGCTCTGCCTAGCTTTACCATGCCCTGCCCTGCCCAGGCCTATACTACCCTGCCCTGCCCTGCCCTGCCCAGATCTGCCCTGCCCTGCCCTGCCCAGGCCTATACTACCCTGCCCTGCCCTGCCCAGATCTGCCCTGCCCTGCCCTGCCCAGGTCTGCCCTGCCCTGCCCAGGTTTGCCCAGGCCTATCCTGCTCTGCTCTGTCCAACTCTACACTGCCCTACCCCTGCCCAACCCAGTCCAGGTATCCTTGTCATGTGTACCTTGTCCAGTCCTCTCTGTCCAGGTTTGCATACCCACCACCACACATCCTATCCCTTTTCCTCCATCACTCCCCTGAGGACTCCCTCTCTCAGGGCCTTTCTCTTCCCGCCTCACCTCCCACCTGTCTCCCTTCCCTCTCTCCTCACAGGAGTGTGGAATCCCCAAACACTTTGGTCTATTCTATGCCATGGGCACAGCACTGATGATGGAGGGACTGCTTAGTGCCTGCTACCATGTCTGCCCCAACTACACCAACTTCCAGTTTGGTAAGTACTGTTTCCTTGGTGGCTGGCTGAGCCCTCTTCCACCCAGGTCACCCAGCTGGTCGGGAGCACCAAGGTTTGATGCCTCTGAGAGCACAGCTCCCCTTTAGAAGTTAGCCATCTGTCCAGGTTTTCTTGCAGAAACTCTGAGAAGACAAAATCCTCAGGAAACACTCCTTGACCTCAGAGTGGTTATAGACTAAGACCCTCAAACTAAGTCATCCTTAACCTCAGGGAGCAACAGACTCTGGGTAACAAGTGATAGTGTGTTGGGGACAGTTAAGGGGCTAGCACTAAAGCACCAACCATGTACCGGCTTGCTCATGGCCATCCAAGGTGCTGGGGCTCTCTTGACTCTTTGTTGGGACTGGGAGTTCTGTGTGGAGTCTCCAAAGATGTCTCAGCAGCTCATACCCTGTCCCCACCCAGACACCTCTTTCATGTACATGATTGCTGGCCTCTGCATGTTGAAGCTCTACCAAAAGCGGCATCCAGATATCAACGCCAGCGCCTATAGCGCCTATGCCTGCTTGGCCATCGTCATCTTCTTCTCCGTGCTGGGCGTGGTGAGGCCTGACCCACTCCACGCACCCCATAGGAAAGGTGCATGCACGTTCACACATGGGCGTGCATGCATGTTCACACATGGGTGTGTGCATACATCCTTTCCTCCTACTGCAGGAGAGATCCCACCCCTTCCCTCAGGGCCTTTCTGGGTCCCAGTATGATCTCAACCTGGCCAAACAGCCAGCCCCAGTGACGATGGGCATGGGAGAGCACGGGAACTGCTGCACTCAGCACCTCCTCACCCCCTGCCTGGGGGTTTCCACACAGGTCTTTGGCAAAGGGAATACAGCCTTCTGGATCGTCTTCTCCATCATCCACATCATTTCCACCCTGCTCCTCAGCACACAGCTCTATTACATGGGCCGCTGGAAGCTGGGTGAGGGCATGCCCAGGGCAGGGTGTGTGAAAGGGGATGGAGGACACCCTAGGATGAGGAGTTAGTGGCCTTTGGGACCTGGACACACAGGGGACCCTTGGCTTCTGTTCTTTCACTGGTGCCCTAAAGGAGCACACCCCCTGAAGGCTCTGACTCCTCTCAGCAAAGAAGGAGGAGCCGTGCCTTTCAGTGCCATGCTCTTCTCATTGCAGACTCGGGGATCTTCCGCCGCATCCTCCACGTGCTGTACACAGACTGCATCCGGCAGTGCAGTGGGCCCCTCTATGTGGTACCTGCCCAGCTCCCCAGTCCCTTCCTCCTCCATCTCCCCTCTTTCCTATGTGGACAAAGAGGTGTAGCAGGGATCCCAGGGTAGGGCGAGGACCAGCTGACTTGGGCCTTCTGCCATTTATCTTCCTGTCTCTCTTGCCCCTCTCAGTCCTTGTGTCTCTGCTTTCCCCTAGGACCGCATGGTACTTCTGGTCATGGGCAACATTATCAACTGGTCTCTGTGAGTATGGCCATTGGCTATGGTGGCCTGGGTGGAGAGTCAGCTGGGGACATGGTCAGCCACTGACTGACTTATGGGCTGTGGACAACTTTGTGAAACATTGGGGGCTCAGGAGAGAGGTGTTGGCCTTTGGACTTCTGTGGGCCTCTGAACCTAGCCTAGCAAAATGATAAATAATGGTGGGGTGAGGACATGGGCAAGGCCCTCTGCTGCTGCCCTCCCTGACTCCCCAGCATTACTCCCTCTTGCAGGGCCGCCTATGGACTCATCATGCGCCCCAATGACTTCGCCTCCTACTTACTGGCCATTGGCATCTGCAACCTGCTGCTTTACTTTGCCTTCTACATTATTATGAAGGTGAGTGGGAAAGGGCTGATCTGCCTCAGGTCAGCTGCTCTGCTTTGTGGGGATGGAGGGGGTACTGAGGGAAAGGAGCCTTTCTGCCCATCTTGTCTATGTCAGTGAGGTTTAGATTTAGGAGGGTGACTTGGGAGAGTCTCTTACATGTGCTCTTGGTAGCCACTTCCTAAGCAGTCACTCTGCCACCATCCTATGCTCACTGAACCTGTGGTGAGCTTGCCCTTCTGAGGACAGGTGCCTCCCAGTGGCCCTCTAGATCCAGCATGAGGGAGGGAGTCCTTGCTACTGCCTTTGCTGACACACAACTCTGGGCACATGAGCACCTAGCTGAGGTGAACGTCAGGGTAAAGACTCAAGGCTGCCAGCATGAGGCCTGGTTGGGCTCAGTGGCTGAGTCTTGTAAGTCCCAGAGAGGCTCAGATGAGGAAATGAGGAAGGCTTGTCTGACAGTGGTGTCCCCTCCCCAGCTCCGAAGTGGTGAGAGGATCAAGCTTATCCCACTGCTCTGCATCATCTGCACCTCCGTGGTCTGGGGCTTTGCACTCTTCTTCTTCTTCCAGGGACTCAGCACCTGGCAAGTAAGTAATCACCTCTAGGCTTGTGGTGAGCTGACCCATAGCCGGTTCTCCATGGTGGGCTAACCCTTTCCTAACTGCTTTCTTTTGAATCCTCCTGTTGTTCAACATGTCAGCATGAAAGTATGGGGCCTGTTACTTAAAGGGCAGCTGAGTTTCAGAGAGGTCAAGTGACTTGCCCCAGGACACAGAGCCAGTGTTTAGTACCTGGGGTTTGAAGCCAGAGACATCAGTCTCTGCTACCTCAGAGGATACCTATCTATGCATCAGGCTATAAAACCAGACATGGTCTCTGCCTATGAGACACTCACAGGCTAGTTCAAGAGAAATACTGTTAATTCATGTCTGATTTTTGTTTTGTTTTGGTTTGGTTTTTGGTTTAAATTTTTTAAATTTATTCTTAAAAACAAAATTTAGCCGGGTATGGTAAATCCCAGCACTTGGGAGGCAGAGGCAGGTGGATCTCTGTGAATTCAAGGCCAGCCTGGTCTGCAGAGTGAGCTCCAGGCCAGCTGGAGCCACAAGGAGACCCTGTCTCAAAAATACCAAAAAAGCTGGGCGTGGTAGTGCACGCCTTCAATCCCAGCACTTGGGAGGCAGAGGCAGGCAGATCTCTGTGAGTTCAAGGCCAGCCTGGTCTACATAGTGAGTTCCAGGACAGCTGGGGCTACAGGGAGACCCTGTTTCAAAAAGACCAAAAAAAAAAAAGTATTATTATTTTTATTTTATGTATATGAGTGTATTGCTTGCATACATGTTAGTGCACTCATGTTGCGCAATGCCCGTGGCGATCAGAAGAGGCTGTGGGATCCCTGGAGCTGGAGTTTCCAACAGTTGTTAGCCACCATGTGGGTGCTAGAAATCAAATCCAGGTCTTCTATAAGAGCAGTCAGTGCTCTTAACCACTGAGCCCAACCAACCCCTTAATTTAGTTTTTTAATTTAATGTGTATGAGTGTTTTGCCTGCATGTATATAGTGCACCACATGTGTGCAATGCCTGCAAGGCCAGAAGATGAGGTCAGGTTCCCTGGAGCTGGAGTTTCAGACACTTGTTAGTCTCCATGTGGGTGCTGGGAATCAAACCTGGGTCTTCTCGAAGAACAGCCAGTGCTCTTAACTACTGGACCATCTCTCCAGCCCTCTAAAAATTTTTTTTAATTTATTTTTATCTATATTTATGAGTGTTTTGCTTGCATGTATGTGAGTGCACCACACGCATGCAATGCCCACAGAGGCAGGAAGAGGTCGTTGGATTCCCCAGGAACTGGAATTACAGGCAGTTGTTAGTCACCATGTGGGTGATGGGAATCAAACCCAGGTCCTCTGAAGGAACAGCTAGTGCTTTTAACCTGCTGAGCCATCTCCCCAGGTCCTGTTTATTGCTTCTTTAAGGCCAACAATCAAAACCAGGCCATACACATGTTAAATACATACTTTACCACTGAGCTACAGCCTCAGCCCTGAGTTTATATTTGAAATGAAACACAAAAATACAAGGTAGGGTACTATTCAGAAGAGAGGAGGAGGGGAATCTCTGTTAGGAGGTCCAGGAGCACTTCCTGAAGGTGGCAGGCTTGGCTCATGGCCATTAAGTTTCAGGGATGGGGGAGCTCTGTGGCTTTGAGGTTCTGTCACCCAAGTGATAATACAGAGTCTGGAATGAACGAGGCAATTTTAGAGGTGCAAGAATGCACTGATTTAGGAGCTGGAAAAGACCTTGAGCTCCCTGAGATCAGATAAGTCTTGGTCATGACCATGGCCTCAGCACACAGACTATTCCAGAACATGGAATCAGAACATGTTTGTGGTATAGAGGCTGTGGGTAGAGAAGGGAGGACCTACAGTGTTATAGTAATGGCTACTGTCAACTGTGAGCACCATGGCCAGGTTATAGTACTTTGGAGAAAACCCAACCTGACGTCATTTGAGAATAGAGCCAAGTCCAGAACAGGAGTGAGTTGGGGCTTCTGGGACTACCTGATTCTCTAAGTAGAAGGCCTCTGCACATAATCACAGCCTCCTGCCCATAACTAAAGAAAAGACTCTGAAGGAGAAGGAGGAAAGAGGATGAGTCAGAAGGGAAAATCTGAAGCCGGTGAGCTTGAAAAGTCTGCAAGAAGGCTGCCATTTCTTGAATATGGAGGACTGAGGGCAAGGCAGGAGTCAGAACAGGGTGCTTTACTACCAGGGGCTAGGGGTGCCATGGAGTGAGTTGGAGGTGGGTCTGGCCCTGGCCTCACTGGAGCAGAGTCATTAGGCTGCTCTCTCTGTCCTGCCAGAAAACCCCAGCAGAGTCGAGGGAACACAACCGGGACTGCATCCTCCTTGACTTCTTTGATGACCACGACATCTGGCACTTCCTGTCCTCAATTGCCATGTTTGGGTCCTTCCTGGTATGTTCAGTGTGCCTAGCCCAAGGGCAGAGGGGCTTGTAGGGGCAGAAGAGGCCTCTTTCCGTGTGCCTGACCTTCTGTCCACCCTTAGGTGTTGCTGACATTGGATGATGACTTGGATACAGTGCAGCGGGACAAGATCTATGTCTTCTAACGGGGCCAGGACTCATGCTTTACCTCCTGGGGCCCTGAGCTCCTCTACGATGCCTGCCCGGTGCCACTGTAGCACCGAGGGTGTGAGTCCCAACTGTGCTGCTCAGCATTAGATGGCAGCGGGACAGTAAGATTCCAGCCCAGGCCTGGCTGAGGACAGTTACAGGATGGCACTGAGCCCTCTGACAATTACAGTTGCCCTCTGCTGTGGAGGGGGCCTGCTCCCGATTCCCTAAACATTGGCCAAATTGCTGCTTTCTTCTCAGTGTTGAGTCCCCCTCTGGACCTCTGTCCATCCATCTGTCTATCAGCTTACCATTTGTCCCTGTGTAGGACAAGGGAGGGAAGGCAATGCCCTCCCCATTTCATGCCTTGCAGTCTACCCATCTTTCCCCTTCCCCCGAGCCCTTTCTTTCTCCATGCTCTGCTCCAGGGCCCTAGTCTGGTCCCTGATTCTCTGTCCAGCACCCAGGCCCCTGTTCTCTTTGGGTCTGTGCCTGGCTACCATCACTGCCTACTCTGGCTGGTCAGGATGGATGTGGGTATGAGACTGGGGGGGGCTCACCAACTGGTGCCAGGCTTTCGGTGCTAAGGCCTGCAAAGGGCCTAGGGTCCCACCCTCCTTCCTCTGACCTGTGCTTAGGGCTGGCTCTTAGCAGTGAAAGTCAGCCCAGTTTGGGAGTCTTTTCTGATCTGGGAGGCTGAATTTAGAGGTCACCACCTCCTCATCCCACCAGCCACCAGACTGATGCCAGCACCAGGGTTGGTGGGAAGTTGCGACTCACCCATCCTAGTCCTTACCCTCAGTCCTGCCAAGCCCCAGCTGGGGCCTTTCAGTGCCATTGACACTGCCCAAGAATGTCCGGAGGCAAAGGAGGAGTGGTGTCATGCACCCAGTCCCCCTCACCCTGCCTCCTCCCCAGGAGCCGGAGCCCCAGTGCCTGTCTTAGAAAGGGAGGGACATGCCAAGTCCTTGTATGCCCCCGACCCTGCCTCACTCTAGGACTCAGGGCTGGCTTCTGAGTTTCTGTCCAGTGTTTAGCCAAGTTCTGTGTTAGTCACAAGGGCATAGGAGCCTTGGCGTTTACATGGAGTTACCCAGCTCTGGGACCCTGGCCGCTCTGGTCCTTGGCTCCCCTTCACTCTGCCTGGCTCATTCCAAATACCAGGGATGGGGTCAGAATGTGTTTCATTTTCCCCATCTGTTCTTACAGCTCTTTCAGGCTGGGGAGAGGAGGTGGGTCTGGGGCTTTGTTTCAGAGCTCCGTTTTGTCTTTCCATGCTACGGTTGTGATTCTGTTTTCTATGAATGGGTTCATTCAATAAAGACACAACCAGATGGGATCTGGACTCTCGTTTGCTCCTGTCCTGGGTGAAGATGTGGGCATGCAGCAGGCGCCTCCTTGTCCCTTCTCTTCTGGCCTGCCCTTCTCTGTACACTGTTACATTGGGATTCCTCCAGGGCTTCTCTCAGTCCCATTAGTTCAGTAAGTATTTACAACGAGCCTGCTATGCGCCGCGCACTGCTGGACACACACAGCCTACTGAAAGTGACTTTGCCATGTGTTCTCCCCTCTGGGGTACCCCTCACCTGGCACATAGTACCTGCCCCTGCCCACCAAATACAGGCCAGCTTCTCTTTTGACTAGCCAGGACAGAGGCCCAGGCAGTACCTGTAATGTGGCTGTGGTGAGCAGACAGCGTGCAGGCCAGGGTTTTGAAGGTGATCAAGGATGATCAGAAAGACAGTAAGCAGGATCCAAGGGCAGAGAAATTTGAAATATCCTTGGAAGGTTGAATTCAGGACACATCCAGTAGCCAGGAGTCCCAGGCATGGCAAGTGTGGGCTTTTCTAATCAGAGTTCCAGCACCCCTCACCTGACCTTCCCTTTAGATGCCACTAGGAGGTGTTGTAACTCTGTACCTCCAGGCTCCAGTTAGCCAGGCCTCTGTAGTAGGTGGAGTTTCAGAGGCAATCCCTTCCCTGTCTACTCT